AAGCATACAGGTAACTCTAGATAAAATCAACATAAATCCCTGATTATTCTGTATCAAAATATTTTAGTCAGTTTTGGGCTAAGTTGATGTATTTGCTGACTGTGTTGAAGACAACATCTGAATTTAGTTTGATATTAGTACTATTTCTGTTCTGTTAGCCTTTGCCTCCTCCTCTGAACAAACTTCTATTAATCCCTTAATACCCATCGCAAATGTCATGTCTTCTTAAAGCCTCCTGCAAGACCAAACAGGATTAGTAACTCTTTTCTCTGGGCTTACATAGACTTCTACTTCAATTGCTGCTATATCATGTATGTTATATCACAGTTAGTTGTTTGTCTGTCTCTCCTGATAGACTGTGAGCTCCTTGCTCCTCTTTGCATTTCCAGTTTCTAACATTATGCCTGGTATAAAGTGTGCACTTAATAGATGTTTGCTGAAGGAATGATGGATTTTTGATGACTGAAAGCTATTTATTAAAGTAGCCATCATTGGGGAATTCCCTGCTGGTCCAGCGGTGAAGCCTTGGCACTTTCACTGCCGTGGATCTGGGTTCGATCCCTGATCGGGGAACTAAGATCCCGCATGCCACAGGATGAGCCCCACCCCCCAAAAAAGTGCTCATCATTGAAGTTAGAGTATTTTCCTTATAGGAATGTTCCAATGTAGAATAACTTTGGGAACTGTACATGGAATACAAGCATCAGCAGTATTAGTGTACTGAACTTGATGACTCTGTAAAAGTTTTCACTGACTTCACACACAGTTTCTGATTCTAGCTTCTGCTTGGAAACTTTCCCTCATATCTCTGTCACAAGCATACAAGCATCTGTCACAAACTCTGTTCCCCACAGATAATGAAGTCCATAAAACAAAGGGGACAGAAAAAATGCAGGATGTGATCATATTCCTTTTTGTCTGATAGCTGTGTTCTTTTGTTGATAGTAGATTTCTATTAGGAGGTCCCCGTTTCTTTCAGGATCATCTACCCATTCACTATTCATTCAAGAAATGGTACTTACCATTGAATGAGTAGGCTCAATGCTAGGGGAGAAAAATCAGGTAGAAACTACTGTGTTTGGGGGAATCCCCTGGCAGTCCAGTGGTTAGGACTCTGCTCTTCTACTGCAGGGGGCACGGGTTCGATCCCTGGATGGGGAACTAAGATCCCGCATGGTGAAGGGCACGGCCAAAACAAAACAAAACCAAAAAAACTCAGTGCTCTGTAGTGACCTAAAGGGAAGCAAATCCCAAACAGAGGGGATATATGTATACATATGGCTGATTCACTTTGCTGTACAGCAGAAACTGACACAGCAGTGTAAAGCAACTATACTCCAATTTTAAAAAAAAAAGGAGAACACACTGCCACAAGGACCTCACTACTGACCCTGTACAAACCTTCTAGGCCTCTGTACAAACCTCAGAAGACAGACTTAGGGCAGATTTATTTTTAAGCTTAATATCTATTCTTACTTATTTAAAGTTTTATACTCTCTATACAAATTTTGTTCAAGAGAAAACTCAAGGGCTTCCCTGTGGCACAGTGCTTAAGAATCCACCTGCCAATGCAGGGGACACGGGTTTGGGCCCTGGTCCGGGAAGATCCCACATGCCGCGGAGCAACAAAGCCTGTGTGCCACAACTACTGAGCCTGTGCTCTAGACGTCGCAAGCCACAACTTCTGAGCCCGCGTGCCTAGAGTCTGTGCTCTGCAGTGAGCCCGTGCTCCACAACAAGAGAAGCCACCTCAATGAGAAGCCTGCGCACCGCAATGAAGAGTAGCCCCCGCTCGCCGCAGCTAGAGAAAGCCCACGTGCAGCAACGAAGACCCAACGCAGCCCAAAATAAATAAATAAATTTTAAAAAAAGAGAAAACTCAACACATAATGTTGACCAATTGGACATTCTTAGACAATTATTAGAAGAAAACATTCAACTGAAAGTGAAATTTTTACAAATTATAGAGTGGTTGCTTGATTTTTCACAATATAAATAGTAGAAATTGTTCTCAGAGATATTTTAATATCCAACTTGTGTTAATTTAGCTTGTGTTAAAGTAAACAATGTTAGATAGAAAAAAAAAGGATGGCTTAAGCTTGGAGCCTGGGTAACTAGGAAAACAATGATGCCATTAGCAGGATTAAGGATCTCAGAGGAAGAGACAGTTTTTATTCAGTGAGAGCTCTAAGTCTTCAAAACTCGTGTCACCACCTCCCTGTAAACTTTTCTGATGTCCTCAGGTCCAATACTGAGATATAGTGTTTTGTATCTCAACAATAATAATGATGATGATGATGGCTAACAGTTTTTAAATGCAGACTGAGTGCCAAGCGTGTACTAAGTTCCTTTTCTTCCTTACAATAAACATATAAGGCAAGTACTATTATTAACTCTATTTTATAGAAGAGGAAACTAGGGCTTAGAGAGTCGTAAAGTGAGAGATGTTAAATGACAGACCAAGATTTGAATTCGGGCTGGACTCAGAGACAACACTCTTAGCAGAGTCAGAACAGTGCAGTACTCGAGAGCACAAGAAACGGGGCCTAACTGGCTGAGTCCGAATCCTGCTCTGCTATTCATTAGCTGAGTGACTTTTGGCAGATTAGTGTACCTCAATTTCACCATAACATCTGTTAAATGAAGACAATAATAGTGTCTGCCTCCTAGTACTGTTGTGAGGATTAAATGAGTTCATATTTATAAAGCACTTAGAAGAGTGCCTGGCACATGGGAAGTATTAATCTCATCTCACCTTTCTCTCTCTCTCTCTCTCTCTCTCATAATTGTTGGAACTTTATTTCTCACTGAGCTGTGAGCTCCTCTAGGGTAGGAAGAGTGTCTGTTTCATTTTACTGTCTCCAGCACCTAGCACCATTTCTCCGATATAGCAGACTGCCTCAGCAAACGTTTATTGCCTGAATGGCATTATTCAGGCAGCTTGAAATTCCATTTCTGAGCCTTGGAGGAATGAGGTGGGTAGAAAAATAGGTATGTCTTACACATAGACATTTAAGCCTGACAATAGGCAAGACTTCCAAGGAAGAGAGCATGGAGGGAAAAGAAATAGAACACTGGAGAAAGATTGATGGTGGGAAATGAAAGGAGACAGAAAAGGAGCTCCGAGAGAAGATACTTTCAAGGAAGCCGTGAAAAAAGGGAATTCAAGGGCACTGATATGAGTCCAGATGAAAGGCTGTCTTAAAGGTAAGAGTATGAAAATTTGTGGTTAGCGAGCAGCTGACCCTGAGGTTAAAAAGTAACTTTCTTTTAAGTCTCAAAGGAAGGAAATGAGTCATTGTGTAATAGTTTATAAAACTTGGCAGGCTTTCTAATGTGGAACCCTATCAGCCTTGCGGGGAAAGTTGAGAGAACTAGGGAGCAATTAAGCTCACAGGGAAAGGGAGGGCCTGGGGCTCTCCAAGGTGCTACTTCTCAACAAAATCGTAATGAAGTCGTTATATCTTCATTCACAATGTGAGATGAAAAATGCAAATTAAACGTCGGTATTTGCCCTTTATTATTTCCTTTAGGCTGGTAAAGCAAGATTGATGATGTTTTTGCCAGGTAGACATATCTCCGTCATTACATTTGAATCTCAGTAGGGTTCCACCACCCATGAAGTATGAATAACCAGTTTTCTGAGTTTTCCTGATATGGTTCTGGTTATGACAAACAACTTGGGATCCCCACTCTTCCTTAAAAGAAGGGCAAGAAAAGGGAATCGACATCAATAGTTGAGAAAGGCGTTTTTATAAATAATAGGTAGACATCACTTAACGCGTTTTTTAAAACTTATTCTTTTACAAATTTTGAGGAATAGAAAACTTTTAAGTGGTCAAATGGGCGCACAGGAATCCATCAAACAAGATTCGAAATTAACTTTCACAACACCTGGTCTAATAAGGTTCCTGACGAGGTCCGAACGCGGGTTGGGAAAGAATTTCCAGACACAAGGCAGAATGTAAGGAAGATATAATTTATTAGAGGGAAGGGTCACTGCCAGAACAGCGGCCAACTTCCTAATAGCCTGGGAGAGTCAAGCCCCAACATGTGCTATTGATCAGTTTTTATAGCCAGAAAACAAAAGAAATGGTCCGAGGTGAAAATTCCCTTTACTGATTGGTCGAGGCACACATACCTTCCTTCTTAGGGTGGGAGTGGGACAGGGCATATGCCTTTCATTACTTGGGACAGGTCCCGTTGCCCAGGTAGGCATCGCCCAGGTGGTCTCACAAATTTCGTAACCATCGCAACATGGTGAGGAGGGCGATTAGGAGTCCAGTAGGGGGTGTAACGCTGACACTTTTTCACGCAGGGTCGTTCTTTGTCCTTGAAGCACCATTGTCCTTGAAGCACCACAGTTTCTCCCACTGTTAACTGGAGAAAAATAGAACCTGGACAGTTGCTGGAAGGACTGAAGCAAATACCTTTTTAAAGAGGGGTTCTCTATTCTTAAATGAATGAGCCCCCTGATCAAGGCTCCTCTACAGGATCTAGTACCTTTAGCAAGTCGTTCTCCACTCTAGGGCTCAAATTTTCTCCCCTGCATAATAAGGAAAAAGGGTGTGTGTGTGCGCGCGCGCGCAGAGCAGATTGCTCCGCTCGAGCTCCGCTCGAGCTCTCCAGTCATTTCATAATAATTTCTCTCCTTCTTGCTAGTTCCCTCGAGGAGGAAAAAGTTGTGAATTAATTCCTCGGGTATGAAAATAAAGAAAGCAGGCAGTCTGGCCTCAAGGATACATATTAGTGAGAAAGGATTCTGAAGGGCTCAAGGACTTAAGGCCTAGAGCACCTGGACCGCCCGCCCCACACACCCGCCCTCCTGGGGCCGGCAGCCGAGGCTGCGGGAACAAGATGGCGTCAGCACGCAGGGTCTCGCCCACGCCCCCGCGACTCCGCAATGAGGCCTCCGGCCGAGTCCTCACCCCATTGGCCAACGGCAATGAGGTCATCGTGGGGGAGGAGGCCGGCGGCAGCGCGGGGGCGGGGCTTTGCGGACGCACGCACGTCGAGGTGCTGCTGCCGGGAGCTGAGGAGGCTGCGGCGTTGGTCTGCGGCGGTTGCTTTGGCGGCGGCCTTCCTGCGGCCGGAGGTGAGCTGGGGCTGTAGGTACAGCGCGGCAGGGAGCGGCCTCCGAGGGGCACAGTAAACCCTTCTAACGGCCCCTTCGGTTGTCAAAGGAATTAGCAGGGGCTTCAGGTCTCAGAAGAATGGGGGTTCACCCCTCTTCGGGCACCCCTCCTCTGGGCAGAGAAACAGGAGGTTCACTCCCTTTTGGAGGCCCCGATCCCTTACCCCATCTAAGTGGAAGGTGGAGGAACTGAAGGTTATTGGGTAGGCTGAAGAACTGAAGGTTATTGGGTAACTGAAGGTTATTGGGTGGGCTTCTTAAAGGGGCTCCCCATTTGAGGCTTATCACCTTTTATTCCCCACTCCGGGAGGTAGGTGTGCCTGGGCTCAGAGAATTCCTCCTTCTCACTAGGTAGACAGGAAACGAGGCAGGTGAATTCGAACAGCTCGTTAGGAGGCGAGGACTGGATGACAGTCGTGAGGCAGGGCTTGGGAACACTTTATTTGGACTCCTCTTGCGCAGGATTACTGTTTCTTCATATTTTTTTTTTGCGACCCCCACGCGCCCGAAGTGCTGTGGCCTTTTTAGTTTTCTCTTTGGTTCCAGTGGGACAGAGATGTTCTAGGGAGACTTGTAATCATTAAAGAACAGAAACAGGGAGGCAACTCATTGGAGGCTGTCATTATCGGCAGCCTCTGAACTATGCTGATCTGGCATAATTTTATGTGTTTAGAGGTTGTGGAATCTATTCTTGTTGAGGATAGTGTGGGATCTGTTAACAGCTGTTCTGGATGATTCAGGTGTAGGCAGTCTTAAAGTCAAGCTACATGATCTCTTGAGAAATTCTTGCTTATATCTGAATGCGTGGTTTTGCTGCCTTGAACGTCAAATGCACAAAGGTTTTGTCATTCAGATTTCTCAAAATGTCTCCCAGGCTTCCGGAAGAATAGCTCTTCCTTTGATGCCAGTTTCACCTATCATTAGGGATGCCCTCATGATACTAAAAATACCGTACATTTTGTTGAGTTTAGATTCTGTACAGCCTGTGCCTTACGATAGCTGATTGAGAATAAATAATTGCAGTTTCAGGACCACTGATAGCGCCAATTGTCTTTCCTACCCGGTAACGGTAAGACCGACTGAAAAGGAAATCTTTATTGGCTTATTCATGCGAAGCTTTAACAGATGGAAGAATGTAGTTAATCTTGAAGGTGGGGATAAGAAACAGAAAGCTGCGGAGGTCCAAAGCTTATTCTCTGTGACTTAAAATTGCTTTGTCATTACCATGTATTCCTGTCATGCTTGACTTGAAATTGAGCTTAATGTGTAAGCTGTTTCTGTGTTTTTCTGTTTTTGTTTTTTAAATTAATGCTTATGTGTTTAGATTCTTTTGGGAGAAAATGGTGTTTTCCGAGGAGTTTGGAAAGTTAAACCCTTTAAGGTAGCCGTACCTTTAGGGCAGTCCTGGGACTTTGTCTGTTAGAAATTAGCAGTAGAGGATAGAAAACTAGATGCAACGGAGACATGCTTTATGACAGGGTAACCGAGGTCTCTTCTGTTTGTTTCCTGACACAGGAAAAAAAAATGTCAGCTGCCTCATAATATTGTGTCCAAGGTATTTAAAGAGCTGTTTCGGATTCCCAGTTTCTGTTTTTAATCTGAATACATTCTTATGTATTGAGATGTCCCAAATTATTGTCATTCAATCCTTACGTCGAGTGCAAAGGAAGTGACTGTTCATCAGACACTCTTTGGGAGAAGATTCAGTAACAGCCGTTGCAATTTCTCCTTTCTGTCTTTCTAAGAAGGATGTCAAAACAGTTGTTAAAGACCTGTCAGCATAGAGTGGAAGAAATGAAATGCAAAACGGAAGAGGCTTCCTGGGGTGTTGTTTGCTCTCAGTCCTCTTGATAATTCCAAGGTCATATAATTTTCTCTTTTTGCCTTAGGTTGGAGAGAAATCCAGGTACTCAGTTGACTGGCCCTTTCTGCTGCCATGGGGGAGCTTTTCCGGAGTGAGGAGATGACCCTGGCCCAGCTTTTTCTACAGTCAGAAGCTGCTTATTGTTGTGTCAGTGAATTAGGAGAACTCGGAAAGGTTCAGTTTCGTGATGTAAGTAGTTATGGGGCTGCTTCTTGATTACCGCTGAACTCTATTTTTCCTGTCATATCATGGCCAATTTGCCTTAAGACGAACGTTTTGCTTTTTATTTTCAAAAATAACATTATAGCACTGGCTTCTATTGGAAGAATGTACATTTCAAGTTGTCTTTGTAGAGATGAGAATGTTTTGTGCCAATCCTTCCATACTTTCACTAGCTACCGCTTTGAGAATAATCTTAAGCATTCTCAAGGTAATTGCTTGGGATGCAGGTGGAGGACACCAGACTAACCTGTTCAAGGCTTGCACTTTGCTTTTGGGCTCCTTAACACCCACAGTACAGTATTTTAAAAAAAGTGTCATAGCTCTTCCATACAATAGGACATATTTATTACAAAATCTGAAGCATCCAGTTACAGATATATAGTATATAAGTAAGCGTATACTGAATACCCATTGTTCTGAAGCATTATGCTGGGCACTTGGAGGAGATATCAGAAGAAAATGGGCAGTCTAAGAATATAAAAAAAGTATGACCTATGGGGCTTGCAATCTGAAGGCACAATCTACGCTGCTGAAAGGAGGGGGCAGGTAACAGTTCCTCGTGATGCAGTCTCAAAGCTCCATGTACCTTTCATTTATAACAGTCATCATAGTCGTGATTTTCCATTCATCGGTGCGACTGGCTGATTAAAGGATCTCTCTTCTACTGTGATCTAAACACCAGGAAGACAGAGACATTCGTTATTATATCCTTAGTGCCCACATAAAAGATAATCAATATTTGTTGGAATGAATGGATGGATGAAAGAGGAGTGGTCAGAAAGGGGTGGAATTAATCAGTTTTGGCTTCCTGGAATTGGCAAGCTTTCAGGAAGTTCTCAGTCTGAGCCGAAATTGCACAAATATAATCCAGTGATGTGGTCTTATTCCCTATTCGCTTTGAACTCTTTTATATCAACTCTCTTCAAATGTTCTCCTCCCTGACTCTGGTTCCTTTTCTTACCTTTCTGAAAACTCATTGTTATCTTCCACCAACCACTCTCTTATGTTCCTTACTCCTGCCATAGGTGTCAGTGTTCCCAAAACTCTTTTCTTTGCTCTCTCTGGCTAAGCTTCTCTGTACCCACATCTTCCCTATCACTTTTTTTTTTTTCTTTTGGTGATCTCATCTATCCTCAAATCTTCCATCTTTACTCAGCGAGTCCCAAATCTGTGTCTCTGGTCCTGACCTCCCAAACACCATCCCTGAATTAACAACTCTCTAAGATTTCTGTCTAACACTACATTGTAAATTAACTGTACTTCAATTAAAAAGAATAAAATAAAATAGCTCAGAAGGCCTTTGTCCCCCCATCCCACCTCCCCCCAAAAAAGATTTTTGTCATCTCTGCTTCTCAAGCTTGTTATGTCTAAATTCCAGCACCTTGGCTTTTAACAAACTATTTCTTCATCCTGACTTTCTAAAGATGAGCTAATGCATCAATATTCTTCCAGTTTTCTAGACTTGAAACCTGAATCAAACCTAAGTCATCCTTAATTTGCAATCCTTTGTCTGGTACTATGGTGTCTCCCTACCTAACACCCATTGTGTCTATTCAGTGTTCTTAACTTTTACTTATGTTGTATTTCAGTCATACAAAACATTATAGGGACTAATACAATGAATATTTATTTTAGTTCCAGACCACTACAGTAAAGTGAGTATCTCAATAAAGCTAGTCACACAAATTTTTTGGTTTCCCAGTGCATGTAAAAGTTATGTTGGGAATTCCCTGGTGGTCCAGTGGTTAGGACTCCACGCTTTCACTGCCGAGGGTACAGGTTCAATCCCTGGTCGGGGAACTAAGATTCCCACAAGTTATGTTTATACTGTAGGCTATAGACTAAACTGTAGTGTATTAAGTGTGCAGTAGCATTATGTCTTAAAAAAAATGTACATATATTAATTAAAAAGTAGTTTGTTGTTAAAAAATGCTAACCATCATCTGAGTCTTCAGCAAGTCGTAATCTTTTTGCAATCAAAAGATCACTGATCACCATAACAGATGTAATACTGGAAAAGTTTGAAATACTCAGAGAATTACCAAAATGTGCCACAGAGACACGAAGTGAGCAAATGCTGTTGGAATAATGGTGCTGATCAACCTTCCTCAATGCAGGGTTGCCACGAACCTTCAATTTGTAAAATAAAGTGATATCTGCAAAGTGCAATAATGTGAAATACAGTAAAACGAGTTATGCCTGTAACTATGTTTCTACTATCTAATTAAGAGAAACATTCCACAAATAATTGAAAGCTCCTGTGTATCCTTCTTCCCTGCCATTCATGTCTCTCTCCTCCCTCACAAAGGTAATCTCCACAATCTTTGCTTTTATCATTTCCTTGTTGTTTTTTTCCACTTTTGCTGTGTATGTATGTATGTATCACTAAATAATATATAGTATAATTTTATGTTTTAAAACTATGTATATGGTTCCATGTTGTGTGTATCCTTCAGCAAGGGCTTTTTAAATTTAATGTTTGTAAGATTTAACCACGTTGATACAGATAGTGCTAGTTCATTCCTTTAAATTGCTATATAGTTATTGTAAGAGTATACTGTTTATCATTTTTTCCTTTTGATGAACATTTTGGTTGATTGCAATTCTTTGCTCAACAGTGGTGCAAGGAAGATTCATATATATGTCTTGTGGTATACACGTGTGATAGTTTCTCCAGGGCAGTGGTTCTCAAACTTTTTGGTCTAAGGACCTCTTTAGACTCTTAAAAAATTGAGGACCCCAGAGGGCTTTTATAAGAGTTACAGTTAGCGATATTATTGTACTGGAAATTAAAACTGAGAAATGTTTGAAGTATTTACTTATTAAATCATTTAAAAATTATAATAATAAACCTACTACATGTTATCATAACATTTTTATGAAAAATAGCTATGTTTTCCAAAACAAAAAAATAGTTTCGAGAAGAGGGATATTGCTTTTACACTTTTGAAAATCTTTTAGTGTCTGAATTAGCAGAAAGCTGGATTTTCATTTGCTTCTGCAGTCAGTCTGCTGTGATGTATCTCATGAGCCTCTGGAAAACTTCACTGAAACACTCATGAGAGAATGAGAATGAAAAAGGCAAATGATGTCCTAGTGTTACAAGAAAAGGGTATTGATTCCATGGACCTGCTGCTGCTCCAGGGATTATAACCAGGAGGCGCACTGCTGAGCATCGTGTGCATCCCTAACTGTTAGATGTTATCAGAGTGAACTTCAGAGTGAATGTACCTCTTCATGCTCCCATCGCTGGCAGAAAGAAATTTGCCAGTCTGATGGTTGTGAAGTGGTTTCTTGTTGTTTTAATTTGCATTTTCTAGATTAGTACATTTAGTATCTTATTTGTTTATTGGACATAATGGGTTTCATTTTCCATGAATGTCTGTCTATATTATCTGCCTAAAGTTTTTCTATTGGGTTTGCTTGTCTTCTGTATTGACCTGTAGGATTTTTTTTTCAAGTTCTTCATGTACTCTGGAAGCTAATCTTTTTTCTAATCCTCTACTGATAACTTCTTCCAGGCTGTGGCTTATCTTTTCCCTCTGTTTTTGGTATATTTTGTCATATATATAAAGTTTATTTTTCTTTTTTTGTTATCAGTATTTTCTGTTTTCCTAAATTTTTCTTTTTTCATTTATTTTTGGCTGTGTTGAGTCTTTGTTGCTGTGCACAGGCTTTCTATAGTTGTGGCGAGCAGGGGCTACTCTTTGTTGCAGTACGCAGGCTTCTCATTGTGGTGGCTTCTCTTGGTGCAGAGCACAGGCTGTAGACGCATGGGCTTCAGTAGTTGCGGCACGTGGGCTCAGTAGTTGTGGCTCGCGGGCTCTAGAGCGCAGGCTCAGTAGTTGGGGCGCATGGGCTTAGTTGCTCTGTGGCATGTGGGATCTTCCTGGACGAGGGATGGAACCCACATCCCCTGCATTAGCAGGTGGATTCTTAACCACTGCGCCACCAGGGAAGTCCCTCCTAAATTTTTTTTTTTTGCGGTACGCGGGCCTCTCGCTGTTGTGGCCTTTCCCGTTGCGGAGCACAGGCTCCGGATGCGCAGGCTCAGCGGTCATGGCTCACGGGCCCAGCCGCTCCGCGGCATGTGGGATCTTCCCGGACCGGGGCACGAACCCATGTCCCGTGCATCGGCAGGCGGACTCTCAACCACTGCGTCACCAGGGAAGCCCCCTCCTAAATTTTTATCTTGAAAAATTTCAAGCCTAAATACTCTAATGTAGATTCACCAGTTGTTAACATTTTGCTACATTTGATATAATCTTTTTTACTGCACTGTCAGAGAGTGAACTGTTTCTTTCAAATCCTTTTCCTTTTCTTTCTCTTATTTTACTGTATCCATTGGGACCTTTAATAACATAACTTTTTTTTAATTTATTTTTTAATATTTATTTGTTTATTTTGTCTGCGCCAAGTCTCAGTTGTGGCATGCAGTGGGATCTTCCTTGTGGCATGTGGGATTTTTAGTTGTGACATGTAGGCTCATAGTTGCAGCATGCAGCCTTCTTAGTTGCAGCATGCAGACTCTTAGTTGTGGCACATATGCAGGATCCAGTTCCCCGACCAGGGCCCCCTGCATTGGGAGCTCGGAGTCTTACCCACTGGACCACCAGAGAAGTCCCAATAGCATAACGTGTGGATGAAGAGTAAGAGCAAGCTAATACTGGTTAGGATTGTGTTTAGCTGTATGTAACTGAAGACCCAAATGTTAGGGGTGTACTTTTCTCATGTAACGTGAAGCCCAGCTTCACACTGTCATGAGTGTCCTAAGATCATTCTGTGTTTCTTTTTGGCCATCCTTGAGCATTTGGCCTTTGTCCTTATAGACGACCACCACAGCTCCCAGCATTTCTTCCATATTCTAGACAGGAAGAAAGAAGTGCAAGGAGGAGGGGGAAGTACTTACATACGGAGGAAAACAACTTTCCCAGAAATCCTCAGCAGACTTTGCTAATTTATCATTG